GACACAAAACCGGGCTCTTTGCCCCCTTTCCAACAGCCAAAAGGGAAACATGGATCAGTTACATGCTATCAAGAAGAAAGAAAAATACAAGTCATTTGACTAGTTTATGTGAGTGCAAGTCGCTCAGTCCTGTCCGCCTCTTTACGACTGTATAGTCCCATGGGATTCTCCAGGCCAGAATACTGGAGTGAGTAATCTTTCCCTTCTCCAGGGTAATCTTTTCAACCCAGGGATGGAACCCAGGTCTCCCGCATTGCGGGCAGATTCTTTTAATCAGCCGAGCCACAAGGGAAGCCCTGACTAGTGCATACTTAGAGGCCAATATTATTTTCACCTTTTCCCTTCCTTTTCAAAGCCGAATGTATTTGCCGCCACAGACAACAATCTAGTGGGCAATTATTATTTTCCTGCTTAACATAAAAGGGATGTATGTTGGGAGTTCACTGTACCAGACAGCGGGTGCTCCAAATTTTCATTAAAGTCTTTAATTCTTTTGTTAGGGTTTGTAATTGGCTTTCTTAGCATAATGAGGGAAGACGTAATAGAGGTGGCAATGGGCAGGTAGACATAATTCGATACAAGACTACAGTAATCTCGATGGCAGTTCTTATAATGACATCTCCTTGCATGGTTCTCTGAGACTTGGGTTTCCCCTTTCCTGACGATCCTGTTTATTCTGGGATTGGGTAAAACGGGTAGACTTCTAAACTCCTGAAATTCCTAGTGTTGATGGCCCCTGGTTACAGGTAGAGTTCTCAAGTCCTCAGTCCTCAAACATCACCTCTCGGCCTCATTCGGAACATGACAAAGCCACACGAGTCGTAGGCCCGTCTCCCACGAGGGTCTCCGTTCGCCTGAGTAGGCCAGCGCACTGCCGCCGAACCAGCATCGACTTTGTCGAAATAATACCATAGACGTCATACTCCCGCAGCTCCCACCCAACTCAAGAGCCTTCCAGCGGACGCATGCGCAGAACTGGCGAGGGCCCGCAGCCAGCCAGGGGTCGCAGGCGTGTGTATAGCGGTCCCATTCTCAGAAAGGCCTGCTTCCCTCGTCGCGGTGAGGCAGTTCCTGGCGGCGACCATGTAGTATCACTACCCGAAGAGAAACAAAGGAAGAGATTGTCCTGTCTCTGGCGCGCTTCCGTTTCAAACCCCAACTTCCGGTTCGTTAGCCGGTTCCGGACCCCGCCTCTCACTTCCGGTCGCCTTGGGTTCCTCTGCGGTCGGTTCCTGCATCCGCTGTTGTCGGTTCCGCTGTGTTCCAGGTGAGGGGACGCTGGGCATCCCTGCCCACTGCCCGCGGAAACACCTTGGGCTGGAGGACCGCAGCTTTGCTGTCCTCGCTGCGCGACCTTCACTGTGGCCTGACAGGCCGCCTGGGGCTGCATTAGGGCGCCCGCCCGCGGCTACCCTGGTCCGTGCGCTGCCCGGGCCTCCGGCCCCGGCCCCGGCCCGCTCATCACAGGGGCCGCCACCCTCGCATCCAGCCTCCTCGCCTGGGTGGAGGGCTTCCCGCGCCTCTGTGGGTTTTGCGTCCTCCCGTCTCATTCCTCCCTCTTCTGGGGCTTGTCCATTTCTTCCCCCTCCCTGTTGAACGTATATCCCGGCTCTTTTGGGTTTTGGTGTTTCTGCCTGTCTTCTGTGCTGTCCCATAGCTGCCTCTTGGAAGCCCACAGCGCTCTCCTCTGCACTCGCTCGCATTTGCTGCAGCCGTGCTCTCCAGAGAATGAGTTGACAGTACTTCAGTAGTTACCCTTTACTAGGCAGGTTGAAAAGTTAATTCCCCTCAATTCCTAAGGTGTTAACTTAGGCTGATGGTCCTTTCAAATTGACCGCCTTTCCTACTTTTTAGTTGTGTGGTCTGGAGCAGCTTGGTTTTCTTCTTTTTCAAATTTCTAGTCTGTATAGTGAAGATAGTAGTTGTCAGTTTAGGATTGTGAAGATTAAATGAGATTATTCAATAAAGTTGTCTAACATGTTATAATTTTTCTATCTTCACCACAATTTGTATTGCTTATAAATGCTGTCACGGCAGTTATTGCACAGCTTAACGCTGTTGTCATGGTAAACATCACTACCTTGACTAGACAAGTCACCGCTGTACCTTAGGTGGAAGAATTTATCCAGACAGCCTTTCCTGACCCTAGTTTCACCACCATAAAGAGTATGTTCCTTGCTAACTTGTTTGGGTTTGATCGCCATCCCTACCCCCAAAATCGTTTTTCACTTTATAAATCTGAAAAGGTCTGGAATGACACAAAACATTAGAATTGTGTAAGAAAAGGCCAAGTGTGAAAACAGAAAATGACTCGTGTATTTGCATTGCATTGCTCCATTCATGTGAATGATCTAAATATTCAAGGAGTAAAGTTTAGTATAACTTTGAAAAACAGGTTTAAGGGCTTTTGCATTGAACTTTTTTATGGTTATTTGTTTTGTTGTGCCTAGTCCTTTAGAACAGTTGTCAGTTTGGAAATCCACTTGTGGCAGGGGTGATATGTAACATCTGTATACTGCTTTACTTTAAGGCTGAGAAAATTGAAGAGCCTCTCTAACTTCAGCATGCCTCAAAGATGGGGGTGGGGAGGGGGCGGGTGGCGGGCAGTGGGAACAGGGATTGTTAAAACACAAATTGCTAGGTCTTTTCTCTCCAGGCCCAGTTACATTTCTAACAAGTTACCAAGTGGGGCCAGTACTGTTGAATGGTCTGGGGACCACACTTTGAGAACACTTATCTAGAGGCACAATGTGGACTCCGGGAGCTGGTGATGGACAGGGAGGCTTGGCGTGCTGCGGCCTGGGGTTGCAAAGAGTCGGACATGACTGAGCGACTGAAGTGAACCTAGAGTGTAGGTGATCTCACTTCAAATGTTATGCCCTGCCCAATACAATGTGCTGTGTTAGCGCTGTTTGCATTCCTAGCTCTTGTAAGCTTTCATTTTTTATTTCCACTTCTCAAAGAAAAATAATATTTAAATGGTATTTCAGTGTGACACGAAAGGCCTATTTGGCTTTTTGTTTTGAGGAGTATAGCATTTGTTAGAGCACGTTCTCACCAAATAAAATACATTGCTCTAAAGTAGCATATCTTCTTCAAAGTTTTAGTAGAGCAGGTTATAAACATAGAATGAATGTAAGTGAATTTATGGTGCTCTTTTCTAATGGGCATGCTGAAGACATCTTGAGTTTCCAAATTACACTGGCATGTTAAGATTCAGAATTTGCCTTCTTTCTTGTTGTTGGTTGTAATACTTGAAGAGTGCAGTCAAATGTTGTGTTAAATATATTATGACAGCATTTGGAAATATCACTGCTTTTAGATGAAAACAATCTAGTTCTCTGACTTGTTGGGGGAACAAACATGAAAACTGGTAGAAAGCTTTATGGTGGGGAAGACCTACCTGCTATCATTGATGAGTGGCAGCTGCTGTATAATCTTTGTGTACTTTATCTGTGCCTGTGGGTTTTGTATTTACTGATCTTTGGTACCTTAGGTTCAATTCAGGAGAGACACAAGGGGAAGAAACTTGAGATTTAGTCAGAAGACCTGTTCAGTTATCAGCTGTTTGCCCATGAGCCAATTACATAACCTCTCTGAACTCCTAGAGAATTCCATGGACTGTATAGTCCATGGGGTTGCAAAGAGTCGGACATGACTGAGTGACTTTCACTTCACTTCTAAACTCCTGTTTCCTTCACAGTGAAAGAGAGACAGTTCTTACCAAACAGCCTTGTTAAATGAGATTGTGTAAAAACTTTTCTGTGTATTCAGTTCAGTTCAATCACTCAGTTGTATCCGACTCTTTGTGACCCCATGAACTGCAGCATGCTAGGCTTCCCTGTGCATCACCAGCTCCCAGAGCTTGCTCAAACTCATATCCATCCAGTAGGTGATGCCATCTAACCATCTCATCCCCTGTGAAAAAGTGAAAGTGAAAATCGCTCAGTTGTGTCCGACTATACAGTCCATGGCATTCTTCAGGCCAGAATACTGGAGTGGGTAGCCTTTCCTTTCTCCAGGGGATCTTCCCAACCCAGGGATTGAATCCAGGTCTCCTGTATTGCAGGCAGTTTCTTTACCAGCTGAGCCACAAGGGAAGCCCAAGAATACTGGAGTGGGTAGCCTATCCCTTCTCCAGTAGATCTTCCCAACCCAGGAATTGAACTGGGGTCTCCTGCATTGCAGGCGGATTCTTTACCAAATGAGCTATTAGGGAAGCCCTGTGTATTAAATCTGAAATAAATAATGGCCATTTACTATTTATTTAGTGCTGTGCCTAATTGTTCTAGTTTTTGAAACTATTTAACCAATACTTACTTGTATAGTGCTACCTGTGTGCCAGCTAGTATGTGACTTACAAAAATTAACTTTCTCCTCCTGAACCTTAAGAAGTAGGTAGTATTAGCATCCCTATTTTACTGATGAGGAAACTTAGGCACTAAGAGTCAATTAACTTTCTAAGGTTAAATAGCTAATAAGTGGGATTCCTGAACCCCAAACCCAGGTAATCTGACTCAAGAGTTTGTGCTCTTAACAACTCACTGTCCTACCTTGCAAATGGTAAATGAACATGGATGGTCCATCATGGAGGAACTTGCCTATAGCATAAACCTGATCAGAGAGGGAGAAATATGTAGCTCAGTATTGCAGCTTTCCAATTGAACAGGAATAATCTGATAGAATATTAGAGGGTTGTAACTAAGCTAAAAGTGGAGGAGGAATTTTAACTTTGACTCCTAATAACTTTTGGTGTTCTGATAACATTTCTATAAATAGAAAATCCTGTTTCTCTACCATCAAGTTTTAAAACAGGACTCAAAGGATGCAGTTATAAAACTTAGAGCTTCGACACATCTTTTTAAAAATGTTTTATGAATACAGTTGCTTTTTCAGCTGTATGACCGTGACATCTTTGGTATGTCTGTTTCAACATGTATATGGCTTTCTTTCTAGGTATCTTTTTCAGAACGAACACTGCCTTATCATATGTTTCAAGGATGGCTCTTCCTATCATTGTAAAATGGGGTGGACAGGAATATTCAGTGACCACACTTTCGGAAGATGATACTGTGCTGGATCTCAAACAGTTTCTCAAGACCCTTACAGGAGTGCTACCAGAACGCCAGAAGTTACTTGGGCTGAAAGTTAAAGGTAATTTTCTCCCTTCTTCAAATTTATTGCATTGATATATTTATAAAACTTTATATTAGCTATTATCAGTTCACCTTAATAAGTCTTTCCCCCTGGAGGTTTCTTTGATAGGGCTATCCCTGGAACTATTTTAGTGATACAAGTAAGAATATTTAAGGATACTTGGAAATAACACCACTATTAAGATTACTTTTGATTTCTTCTGACAGTTGATGTTTGCTTGTTAAACCTTGGACATGGAAGTCCCAGATAAAGAGTGTAATTTGTAATATCTGTCTTCTGGTACAGTCTTTTCATTACAACTTGGGCCTTTTACTCTCTCCAAATTACCTTTTCTCTTTTGAAAGTAATAACAATTTAGAAATTATCAAAAGTTAAAAGGCACTTTTAAGGTGTTTGTGTTTGTTTTATCATTGAAGAGTGAGTTCTGAGTAGCAGCAGTAAATCTACAGTTATCCCAGACACTCAATTTTCAGGACTTTCTGGAAAACAGCTATCTTCATCTTGAACAACAGAATAAGAATAAAACATGAATTTAGTTAGTTAGTTGAATTAAAGATATTCCTCTAAGATGGAGTTGGGGGAAAAAACCCAACCTTGTGTTAATTGCTCTTCATAGTGTGTTAGGAACTACTAATTCAGCACTAATAGTTTATTAATTTAAGGGAAAAGAACCTGCTGCGGGATCTTTTAATGTTAGGGTTTTGTATAATGGGATAGTGAAACCAGCACCTGAACTTTAGTGAGAAAACAGTCATTTGCTTGTATTGTAGGCAAACCTGCAGAAAATGATGTTAAGCTTGGAGCTCTCAAACTGAAACCAAATACTAAAATCATGATGATGGGAACTCGTGAGGAGAGCTTGGTAAATGTTTACTTTTGTTACATTTGTCCCATTGAAGATGTGTGCATGCTTAGTCGCTCAGTCATGTCCGACTCTTTGCGACCCTATGACTATAGCCCTGCAGACTCCTCTGTCCATGGGATTTTTCTGGCAAGAATACCGGAGTGGGTTGCCAGCTCCTCCTCCAGGGGATCTTCCCAGCTCAGGGATCAAACTCACGTCTCCTTCATTACAGGTGGATTCTTTACCATTCTTTACCACTGAGCCACCGAGGAACCTCTCCCTTTGAAGATGTTATGATTTATGTCACACTGTTACATCATAGTTTTAATTGTGGTAAAATTGTCAGTTTAATAGTCAATAGAAAGTAGAAAGTGCACAATGAATGTGGTATTAACTTAGCAGAAAGCAAACACTGGGGAACTTGTCAATGTACACAGGCAGCTTTTAGTATAGTAGTAGTGATAATGGTCAAATTTAACGTGGTAAATCTGCCCAGTGAACATACATAAAATGTGAAAGTCTTCCCATAGCGTGTGCTTGCAAGACTCTTGGACTGAATTTGTACCTCTTAATTTTTTATGCTATGCATCTATTTGTTATCTTAAAGATAATATGGTAAAGCAAAACCATTTTTCGTCTTAATAGGAAGATGTCTTAGGTCCACCTCCTGACAATGATGATGTTGTTAACGACTTTGATATTGAAGATGAAGTAGTTGAAGTAGAAAATAGGTGAGTGCTTTTCATCATCAAAGGGAATTGGTTGTAATACAAGACAAAGTGAATCTTTCATCTGATTTTATTTTTCGTTAGGGAGGAAAACCTACTGAAAATTTCCCGCAGAGTAAAAGAGTACAAAGTGGAAATTTTGAATCCTCCCAGGGAAGGGAAAAAACTTTTGGTACTAGATGTTGATTATACCTTATTTGGTAAGTCAGCTGAAACTGTGTTTCATCGTCTGTTACCAGTAACAGCATTTTCCCCTTTTATTTGTTTTTTTCCTTGCACTATGAATTACTTGAAAGCATTTCTTTTTATTTTAAAAGTAAATCATTTATTGTAAGCAAAAAAAGAAGTCATATGTAATCCCAAGATCCAAATATCTTTTTTTATGTGTTAATTTCCTGGATGTTTATATGTATATCCTTTTCATGTTTACTTAATGATATGTTCAACATTTCAGTCATTTTGTATTCATTGTGAGTTAAATATATGTATTTTTTGGTCTGGTGATTTACTAGTTTATGAATATGTGATAATCAAGCCATTCCCTATTTATTAACATTTTATAAGGATTATTTAAAAATCATTTTTGATAGTTTATTCCTGGTTTTCTATTATGTTCAAGACAGATTCTTGAATTTAAGAATTTGACATTTGATATTTCATGTCAACAAAAAAAGATGTTCTTTTCATCCTTTAATATTGCCAGACATAATTAGTTAACTCCTGACATTAAAATGAGCATATTTACCTCTAATCCTAACCTTTAAGTACATGTCATAAGTTAGTGTACATTTATTTTAAAATTTGATTAGTAAATTAATTGAATCTGTCATTTTGGTGAAATGTTATTATATTTGGAAGGTGAATGGCTAAAAAGTGAGTATATCTGGCCCTAGTCTGTTTTTCATATCCTAAAATAAGATCTATGTTTTAGAGAATAGATGAGAAGAAAACTTACTGTTTATTATATAAGCCTGAATTCTGGGTATTGGCTCTTTGCAAATTGGACAGAATAGATCAGTTAAAATTGGATTGCAAGAATACTGAATTGTGTGCTTTGAAGATGTCCCTCTGTCAGCTGAAGTAGTCTGACTTCAACTAGAAGTTAGTCTGAAGTAGTTAGTATTTTGAGTGTTTCTGTTATATTTCAGAAGTTTAATCAATATTAGATGCTTGTCCATGATAATAAACTAATCATCATCTCTAACTGATTTTTTTTTAGACCATAGGTCTTGTGCAGAGACTGGGGTAGAATTAATGCGGCCATATCTTCATGAATTCCTGACATCTGCATATGAGGATTATGACATTGTTATTTGGTGTAAGCTGTATTTCTTCTTTAGATTTTCATGAAAATAAGGTTGTTGCTTATATTACTTTGCTTTATAAAACTTGACTTAAATTTTATTTTGCAAATTTCTGATGAAGCATATTTGATATTTTCATTCATCACAGTATAAACTTATACATGTATTTGCCAATACCACTGAAATACTTAAATATAGGAAGAGAGTAGTATATAGTGTGAAATAAAATGGCCTGTTTTCACAAGACCCCACCTTGATAAGGATCTTTTCTTTCTGATATTTACTGTAGAATCTTTGATGTTTTAGTATACTGTTGCTTTCTCCTCTCTTCATTATTCTAGTCTTAGAACATTGGAGAAACATATGTATTAAAACAAATTTACAGTGATATAGTTCAGAAATAAAGGCAATGTGAATTTACTTAGGGAAAATTAATAAGTGGGTTAAAGCAGTGTGACTCAAGTTGTGGTCTGCCATTCCAGGAACTTATAGGTCTATGATAAGAGTGAGTTTGCTCCAGAAAAGTAAATTTATTGCATTACTAAGCACACTGTTTAGTTCAGGTGACATTGTTTTTTTGTGGCATGATTTTCTGAAAAGGAAAGGGGAGTGGTGTATTGATTTACATGTCACCTTCCCACAAACATTTTAAGTTTTGGCAGTGTCATAAGCAGAAAGAGCTATCCTAATTGTGAATTAAATAAACTCCCATCAGCTAAAGATGGTACATTTAACTGTACTAGGTTACTGATTATAGAGGCTACATACTTCTGCAGTCTGTAAATTTCCTTTGTATTTTCTCTTATAATCAGAGTATTTCAATAGTTTAATATTAATATGAGTGCATGTCCATTACAACTAAATACATAGTTAAATATATAATTTTCTGATTTTTAAGATACAGAGGAGAAAGCTTCCTGAAAAACAGTTTTGTGTTCAGCAGTTCTGACTTCTGAGATGACATTTGAGAAAAACGTTTATCCTCTAAATGTTATTAGAGTAGACTTAGGGATTTTGAGAACGTTTTACAATCATATATTTAAAATAGGTTATTTTTTTAAATTTCACAGTAGTACATTGAAAAGGGCATCTCATTTTGTAGCTAAGTAGACTAAGGTTTTAGTTCTGGCTCTGACCTTATTGATACTGGGCAGATCAGTTCATCACTCTGAGCCTTAGCTTCCTTATCTGAGAAATGAAGATAAGGCAATCTATATTACAGGGTAGTTATAAGAATAAAATATCAATATAGGAACTAGTAATGTGTCTGACGTGTAATAATTGCTTAATAGTTAGAAATCCTTTTTATTAGCTGAGAATCTTTCTGTTTTTCATCTGGGAATTACAGATTCAAAATATATACTGAATTTAAAAATTATTTTTCCCTATCACATGATTTGTTGTCATTGTAGACACATCATTCTCTAAAATTATAATTCAGCTGACCAATTTTGCATGTAAGGTGATTTTGGTTCTTTTATGTGTGCTAAAGATTTTTATTCCGAGAACTTAGGTACCTCATTTGCCTTTAAAAAATAACATACATGCGTGTGTATACACACTTTAAATAATTGAACTCCTTTTTCCCTTTTGAAACGTTTTGCTCTGTAATACCTATGTAGTTTAGTCCAGTAACTTGAGATGAGTAATGCACATGAAGCTGAAGGTTAAATTTTAATGTCAGTGATCTCAAAGTGGTTGGGAACTGACAGTGAGCAGGTACATGACATAGATGCAGTTTATGAATTTAGTTGTCTCAGACTTGTTAAAAGCTGCTGGACTCAGTGATCACTAAGTTTGCTGGGCCTGGAAAAATTCTAATTTTCATTAGCTTATATTGACATACATACATATTCATCTGCTTATATTGACATGCATACATACGCCCATGCCCACACAACTCCCCCCCCCACCCCCACCACCTGTGTGTTACCTGGCAGGGGGAACATAGAAGAAAATGGAGATCCAGGCACCCTAAATTCAAGTTTAGAACTGATGGAGAATAGTAGCAGGGCTGTTTTTAAAAGGGTGATTAGGTCTTGAGTTATGAATTTCCTAGGTTCAGAGTTCCTTTGAGCATTGGTGACCAGTATCTTTTAGAGAAGAGTTAAAAATTGTTGTCTTGAAGACACAGTAAAATAAGTTTATTTTTATAAATAATTAAAAGAAAATTAACCATAAATTTTACTAGGGATTATTTGTGATGTATTTGAACTTTTAGTATTGCTTAGAAACTAATTTATACAGAAGAAAGATTTTTTTTAAATTAAGTTCAAACTTTTCATATATATTGTGTTATCATTCCTCATGTTTTAGCTGCAACAAATATGAAGTGGATTGAAGCTAAAATGAAAGTAAGTGTTAGAAAACAATCCATTTAAGAACATTTTGAAACTGCATTTGTCTTCTTAGAAAGTCCTGAATTAAATTAATTTCATTGTCATTGGAGGACATTTAGTAGCAAAACAAATGTCAGTATCAGGAGTTAGAGGTGTTTTTCAAGTCTGCTTAGTGGTGATTTGCTTTGATTACCTATGTCTTTTTCAAGATAAAGTACAGCAAAGCTCCTGTTCCTCTTGCCCTCATTTTATGCTAACACTTTATTTTCCTCCTTTTGTCTGGAGTGTGATGCTTAAAGGAGTGATGCTCTTCTAAAATAGTGAATTAGGAAGTAACCTGTTTCTGGTAGTATATTGAAAAGGGCCCCCTCATTTGGAAGCTAAATAGACTGGGGTTCTTTGGACTACAATTTACTGAATCTGCTTAGTGAAACTAAATGCTTGCCAGTTGTTGTTCAAGATATGGTAGCCAGGGGGATAGAAAGATGGTGTAATGGGAAATTATGCTGGACTATTCATAAAGTCTGGGATTGTCCACATTATTATATTTTAACCATGTGAACATTTATATTTATAGGAGCTGGGAGTGAGTACAAATGCAAATTACAAGATTACCTTCATGTTGGACAGTGCTGCTATGATAACAGTGCATACTCCAAGGAGAGGATTAATAGATGTAAGAAGTCATTTTTCTTTTATTTAAAAACTTGCTTGTTTTCTGATATACTATTTGCATTTATATTGATGGAATAAACTATACAAAGAGGTTAGACATGCGAGAGGATAATAGAGTATCAATTGAGTTTTGACAGAGGAAGCTGTATTTCAGGTTAATAGATTTGAATTTTAGTGACAAAATTAAGAAGCTTACGGAAGGGCTGTCAGGAAAAGTCATGGTTAATTGTCCCATGATGATAGCAGATGTTGCTAAAAGATAGAGTAGATGAGAAAAAAATACTGGATATCTTCAGGGAAGATAGTAGAAACAGGCAAGAGCATACTTGTCTTGGCCTGTATGAAACTGATAAATAAAAGCAGATACATCATGATGCATGTCTTTGGGGTGACATATGTGAAGGCCTAAAGAAAAGAAGAAGAACCATCAAAAAATATTTGTGCCCTAAAAGATTAGGATTCTTCACTTTGTTTACTCATCAAGTAACTAGTTATATTATGAACTTCTAGTATCTGCAAAGTCCTGCAATGGGCACTGTTGGGAATAAAGAGATGAGAACACATGGTCCATGCCTTTTGGAAACACACAGACTAATAGGAATTGGGGAGAACTTAGCAAACTAGGAAAATTTAGAAGAGACAGTATTAAAATTGTCCATCATAAGTCATGTTATGTGCATGGGGATTTTTCAGTAAAGAAAATTAAATATACATCAGGAGAAAATGTAATTTATTATCCGCTGAAGTGGTACATTTACAAAATCTAAACAGGGAAAAGAAGTGTAGCAAATGTTAAACATAGGAATGTTTCTAATAATGCAAAAGGAATAAAAGGAAATTCTCAATAAACAAATCCCCACCATAGTAGAGAGTTGATTGTATAAATTTTTGTTAATGCAGCTAACTATTTGATGTAGTATTTAGTGCTTTAAAATTTTTTCATTATACATTATTAAAGTGAAAGAAGTATTTTAGCAGTATTTGCAAACTGTTAGAAAATAGTTTCTTTAACCTTTGTTTGGTTCAGGGTTTCCCTTAACTTAACAAAAGATCTGTGAACTCTTTGAGGCTGCTGCTGTTTATCAGAAAGACTGGAGGTAAATATACCAGAATATCTAGTTGTAATCTTTGGTACTAACTGGATTATAGATATTTAAAATTTTTCCTTTGTCCCTTTTTGTGTTTTCACAAATTTTTTCCCTATAGTCAGCAACATTACTTCTCTAATTGAGAACAAAGTAGCGCATGTTTTGGGGAACATATGGTGCTTGACCTAATTACAAAATGACAGCTCTATTTAAGAGGATGTAAGATTTCTAACCCTGGCTATCATAAAGCTCTTGCCTTATTTCTTGAGACTTTTATGTTGGCTAAGAAAACCAAAAATCTGGTTTATTGTTTCAGTTCCAATATATTTGTCTTCAAGTATTTGGGGGATTTGTTTCAGTAGTAAACAGTGCAAACACATACAGCAAATAAAATTTTAGTGAAATTAAAATACTTCAATAACATTTTTTGTAGTAGCAAGAACACTAAGATAGGAAAAGAGACTTTCTCCATATTAAAATAAATTATAGAAGGGAAAAAAGAAAACATTTTTAAATGACAAGTCTCATCACCATTTATTTACTACCATTTAATTTCATATAGTTACTATGAATAGCATGTAATCTCATACCACAAATGAGACTCCTGCATTCAGCAAAAAGTACTTTTTCTTCTGAAAGTTAGTGTATTTAAAAATGTTTTTGAATGTATAAAATATGTTCACATGATTCACAAATAAAGTATGTAGTGAAAAGTCTTCCTCCATCTTGAACCTTCAAGCCACTTAACTCTCCTTCTTATAGGCAATCACTGTTACTTCCCATGTGGTCTTACAGAGAATTTATGCAAGTATCAACAGATACGAATATCTGAGGAGTTATCTTTTTGAAGGCTTATTTTAAGAATTCAGAAATACAAGCAAGAATTTACAAATTATGGTATTTTTGAAGTTAACCAGTCAAATGCTCTAGAAATCGTGCACCTGTACTACTGAACTAAAGAGAAAAAGCCAATTTTTGCTTTACAAAATATTTGAATATTGTAGTAAAAGAGCCAGATACATTGTTGTTAAGGTTTGCTAGTTTTGAAAATAGTCCCCAAGTGAAACCTCAGGTTCTGGGGACATACCATTGCTCAGCAGATATCTAAACAATTACTAGATTCTTACTTTTTAAATTAAATACTCTTATTTTAATCCCAAACCTTCATGTTAAAATTATTGGAAGTGTTATAATGGGCTTAGTTCCATTAGACATGAACAGACCTTTCAGAAGTTCACACTGGGAGATACATTGTCCCGTAAAGTGTGTTACCTCTCAGTTCTGGTCTGTTCACAGAGCCAGCCATCACTGTCTTGTGGTAAAGGAACACTCTGGCATAGTTATGCAGGCATTTTGCAGTATTTTTGCTTCTAAGAAAGGATGAACTACTTATGAAATTTGAGTTAAATCTAAGTTTTTATTCTAAGGTAAAGCCTCTTGGTGTTATATGGGGAAAGTTTTCGGAGTTTTACAGCAAGAAAAACACCATCATGTTTGATGACATAGGAAGAAATTTTCTAATGAACCCACAGAATGGACTAAAGGTAAGACATAATTTACTTGCTATTCTCATATATGCTGGTATATGCAGTAGAACTTTAAAGCACTATTGAATTTCAAAGATTTTTTCAGGTAATGTAGTGTGCGGGCAAGAAAAGCTTATATGTTTAGAAAAATTCATATAAAATTGAACGTTTTCTCTTTCGCACAGTACCTCCTTAGTTAACCAACTCATCTAGATGTTTTGTTTTCAGTTATCTCTGAGGAACAACATGAGCTTACTGACATTGACTTTGAGCTTCAAAAGTGAAAGTATCAGACATTGTTGGATTAAGGATTAAGGATTGTTGTTGTTGTTTAGTCTTTAAGTCATGTCTTACTCTATGTGATCCTATGGACTGTAACCTCCCAGGCTCCTCTGTCCATGATGATTCTCCAGGAAAGAATACTGGAGTGGGTTGCCATGCCCTCCTCCAGGGGATCTTTCCAACCCAGGGATCAAACCAGGTCTCCCTCATTGCAGGCAGATTCTTTACCGTCTGAGCAGTGTAAAATTGGTAAGAGAGAAATTGAAACTTAAGATTTTTGGTACCTGTGGCTGCCTATGTGTCAGTACAATATGAAAATGGAAAAGATAGCTCTATATTATGGTACTAATGCAAATGAAATCTCCATTTGAAGTGTAAATCCTGACACTTAAGATATTTTTAATCTCAGTCCTAAACTTTTCCACAAGCTGAATTCTTGATGAATTTAAAAGACAAGAGAAAAACTTGAAGTAGATACATTTTTGAAGCTATCCTTGCAGACTATTGATGTGGCCTTTGGTGTACAAGGAGGATAGTTGAGGGAAATTTTATTAATCTAGGTAGTGAATTGTCATGAATATAAAGACTGTTGACTTGGAAGAAAAGTACTAGGGGTAGATTGGTGGTTATGTTCCCCTTTAAAAATGATCTCTGTTTGAGGCTTTAGGAGAAGTGCTTTTCCCCTGTGTGGTTTACCACGTATAAGACACAAAAGTACATTCTTCAGTCTTGAGCAAAGATTCAGTTGATCTAAGCTGAATCTTTTATGAAACCAATGGTATCTGTACTGGAAAGGAGGTAAAGTCATGGTATTCAGGGAATGATTAAAATTTTTTTTTGGTTGAGGTATAATATTAGTTTCAGGTATACAGTATAATTTATGATTTGATATTTGTATATATTGTGGAATGATCACAGTAAGTCTAGTTACATCTGTCACCATACAGTTAGTTTTTTTCTTGTGATGAGAGCATTTAAGATCTACTCTCTTAGCAGCTTTCAAATATGCAATACGGTATTATTAACTATAGTTATTATGCTCTACCTTATATCCCCATGACTTATTTTATACCTAGAGGTTTGTACCTTTTGACTTTCTTCATTTCTCCCACCTACCCATTTCTGGCAACCACCAATCTCTTCTTTCTGTTCTCTGTTGTGTATGAGCTTGGTTTTGTGTGTGTGTGTTTTGTTTTTGTTTTTTTTAGATTCTGCATATAAGTAAGACAGGAAATGACTTTTGAGAAGAGCTTAAATTAAAAAAAATATATATATATATATTACTTTCATTTGTGTTTTTAGAAGAAACATTTTCCCAGCCAGCATTTGGGATTGGAAAAGGCAATCGCACCCCACTCTGGTACTCTCGCCGGAGGACGGAGGAGCCTGGTGGGCTGCAGTCCATGGGGTCGCTAAGAGTCGGACACGACTGAGCGACTTCACTTGCACTTTTCACTTTCATGCATTGGAGAAGGAAATGGCAACCCATTCCAGTGTTCTTGCCTGGAGAATCCCAGGGACAGCGGAGCCTGGTGGGCTGCTATCCATGGGGTCGCAGAGTCGGACATGACTGAAGTGACTTAGCAGCAGCAGCATCTCTGATATAGCAAGATGATGATACAAATGTCTAGTACTTTAGAGCAAGATTTTTTTTTTTAAACCAGAGTACTCAGTGGAATCACTGAAGGAGTTCCTAAAAATATGTTAGTTTCCACCTCCAAAAATTCTAATTCAGGAGAGGTATTTTTAAGCATTCTACAGGTAATCTCTCTCATGTCTCCTTTTGAAAACCCCTTTTAAGAAGGTAGTAATTAATGTTCTGCCCACATTGACACAGAAGTGGTTTTGAAATTGAGAAGTACTCTTAAACTCTGTGTTTGTTACCACTGTTTCATAATACTTCTGGCAGAAATCTCAATGATTTCACAGATATCTTAAAGACTGATTATTTTTGAAGTAGTTAACTTCTCATAATAAAAGTTTGTTAATCTTAAGGTTTGAAATATAACATAGGAGGCTTTGTCAGTTCTAAATCTAGTACTAAAATTAAGGAACTTGAGTTTTGGTCATGCACAAACGGTAGTTACTCTGAACTTCACTTTTATTATCTATATAAGGAAGTGGAAATATAAGAGAATTCAGATCATCTAAATATTCTTAAGTTCCTAAAAATGTTTTTTTGATTATGCAGCAATAGGGGTAATATATGTTGATCACCTTGATTATTCTTGAGAATGGAACAGTGATTATACTGAAACAGTTGAAGTCAATTAGGTCAATTTTTTCCACTTAACTGGTTTAACTTTTAGATCTAGAATCTTTGGGTTATTTTAGTTCTGTGAATCGGGCTTAAGACCAATTGTTTAGAAAGTGAAAGTAGCTTAGCAGGGCTTTGGGTTGAAAATCTTATTTACTAGGCACTGACTCTGTACTTTCTCTTTCAGTCTAAATCTTTTCCTGCTTTTACACTGGAAATCACTTTGGTACATTGTATATTAATAGTTTAGAAGTTAATATGTTGCTTTTACAATCTTCAGTTACATGAGGGAATACTTTAAAATATTACAGTATTGCCCAGAATTGTGCAAAAACTCATGTCACCACATTCTGATTACCATGCCTGTTCATACCTAGCTGCAGAGCTTAGGCGGGCCCCTGCAGAGTCTCCTTGATCTCCTGCAGCCACTGCTGCTGCTGTGAGGCAGCTCTCCCTGTTTGGAAGCAGGGTTTCCTGCAAGAGCTTGCATCTGTGCAGACTCTGACAGCGCTGACTGGAGCCAGTCTGCCACCCGCTGACTCACAGCTGTGGAGGTCCTTGGCCCTAAGCTCTTTTGATGCGATTAGAACCTGGGATGTATGGGAATATTTTCTTCTGTTGGTTTCAAGCTGTTGTTGTGTTTTTCCAGTGACACAGAAGTATATAAAACTTCTTGTTAAACCTCTACTCTTGACTGACACAGTAACGAGTCCCATGGCCTCATTGTTCTCAATATGTAACAATGATCAAATGTCATGTTTTTAAATGTCCCTGTGTAAAATTGACCAGTTTGCATTTTCTCTCAGTCACAATAAGGATATATTAATACTTTACTAAAATGATTTATTCAGTTCTTACAGGAGTATGTTTTGTTTTTTTAATATTTTTTTATAGTGAAAAAGTTCAAGCATACAATAGAACTGCTTGGAATTGTATAAATTAGCCTCCCTGTTTAAACAACTTGTTAATTCATGAATGTTTGCTTTATACCTTAACTGTTTTCCTCTCTTTGATATTTTACAGCAAATCCTAGACATTATTTCATCTAAAATGAGTTAAAGGTTTATGAAATGCTATCTTGAGTGGTATATAGATGAGCAGGTTCTTTAAAAAAGTAAAACTCTTTATTGGAACTGTAACATAAAAGTACATAAAATGTATAGTCTAACATTGTTTTACAGGGAACTTGTATAACTACCATTCAAGTCAAGATATAAAATTCCTTACTAATTATAGTCTTCAACCCTGTCCATCATCTTGACTTTCATGCTTTTGAAATGAACTTTTTATCATAATAAAATATATTGAACTTAATTCAGAAACTATGACCACTTTTTATGGGAAAACTCATATAATTAAAAATATTTTAATGGAAACTTTAATAATAAAGAAAAATACTTATGATACAGTGTGAGTGGAAACAGGTTATACCAATGCACAATATCTTAGTTATATAAAAATTTCATAGAAAAATACTGATGTGAAAATAATCAGACATTTATTTTTCATCATTAGTTTGTTCTTCCATACTAATATGTGATAATGATGTTTTATTCTCTAGTATTATAATACAAAGTTGATTTTTAAAATTTATTTAAATGTTTTCTCTTTTCTTTCTTTTTTTTAAAATAACAAAACAACTCTGTGCAGGACTTCTGGGGTTAAATGCATATGTAATATTGCATTTTATTATCCGAGAATTTTTTATCAATTTTTGATCTTTGAAATTATTTGTAATAATAAATTTATGGCTTAAAAATGTTTATCTCACTCTACTATAAATCAAGCTTGTATTGTGTACCTTTTTAATGAATGAAGTAACGTGAATGAGATTATTTAATTAGTAAGAAACAACTAGATAGAAGGGGGAAAGTCTTAAGTAGTTCTGCAAAGTAGAGAAGCCATGTAGGGTTGAAGAGCTGTAAGATAGCTGGTGTTGTCAAGTTCAGACTCAAAGGCTAATAGAAGACAAATTAGGTGGAAGGGGTCTTCTATTATAAACACACCATGACTGTCAGTGAGATAATATAAAAGTAATTCTTAGTATTAACATCCTTGGTAATATTAATTTCATTGACTGTAACTTAAATATACAAGTTTGTACTATTTTTCTTACTGCAATGTGAATTGTTGGATAATGTCTGTTTTCTAATAGATAAGACCTTTTATGAAAGCACACCTAAATCGAGATAAAGACAAAGAACTTTTAAAATTAACCCAGTACCTCAAGGAAATAGCAAAACTAGATGATTTTTTGGACCTGAATCACAAATATTGGGAAAGGTAAGTGTCATTTGCTTATTCATTTATTTCATCTGTACATTAATGAATGAAAAAATTGTCTGGTAACTCTGGTATACACATAACTCTTATTTTTTATTTAAAATGGGTAAATTCTAAAGCTGTTTTGTAATCTAGTGACATCTCCCCTGGAGGTGTTTTTCCCTTTAGTCTTAACCTCTAACTTGTTCATAAACCCACATCTCTTAAGACCTTTAATACTTCTTTAGTAGAGAGGATCTGAGAGGCTAGTACATGTTTTTAATGACACCTGTTAATTATTTTGTAACATTAAGTGGGTCACTCTTTTATGAATCATATGAGAATGTAATCCCTGTTCTCATACTGTAAAATAATGTCAGGATAAAATAAAATAGGTTAAAATGTTTTTTGTTAAAAATTACAAGTAACCTCTGTATGTAGCAGAAAAATTAGAAAATTAATTCCTTTAGGCAAACAGTTGTGATTATGAAAGATACCAGCTTGGTGTCTTGTCTTCTAGTCTTTTTTTCTGAGCACAAATTTAAATACAAATCTACACATAGATTGCATGTAAACATCAAGATTCTGCAGGAAAAACCTCTGGAGGAGTGGACAGGATTATGTACTGCAAGTATTCTTTTCAAAGTAGATCTTTAAAGATTGGATTTCACTGATAAACAGCAACAAAAGAAACTTCATGTGATACAACACTCTGGCTGAATTAGACTTTTGGCCTTTCAGATCACTGGTACACTTTTGTACTTAGATATACTTATATACTTACATAAACTTGTAATATGCTTCTTACTAGAGTCTCATAATATTAGGGCTGTCATTTTTATACCCAGTTCCTGTAAATGGTATAATAACTAAGTCATAGGAATAATAGATGCCAGTATGAACAAGTTTTACCATCAAGACTTATCTAGATCTCCTGATTTTAAGAACTCTTTCTCCACCCCCATAGCTCTGAGTATAGTAATTCATAAATGGGAGAAATAGAGATGTAAAAATTTTAGTTTGTTTGCAAATTCCTATAAAATAATATGAAAAAAAATTTGTCTGTTTAGTGAATTAACATCTTTACACTCTTGATCAGAGTTCTTTAGCAGCTTTGGCTCACTACCTTTATGTAGGAAGATCATTAAATGGACTTAGAGTTTTGGGGGAAATTTATAATATTAGCTAATACATTGGTTTCACATTTGAAAGTAAGACAGTATGTAGTGACAGTGTGCAGCCTCCGGAGTCTTGTTTTCAATCTGAGCTCCACCACTTTCTTGCTGTATGAACTTGGACAAATTGCTTAACCTCTTGTGACTGTAAAATAGAAATAAATTCTCATTGAAAACTCCTCATAGAACATTGTGAAGACTAAATGAATTAGTGCATGTATTTAGAACAGTACTTGGTACATAATCAATGCATGTTAGGGATTATTAACAGTTATTACTTATCTTAAAAAGGTTTGTTATTAAAATAATCAACTTTCTTTGGGGAGGAGTGTTAGATTGTTAACTTGAATTCAGTATAATACAGCTTAGACATCTTTATTTTGATTTCTTGCAGGTATCTCTCAAAGAAGCAAGGACAGTAGTTACAAACTGTACTGGCAGTTATTGAAGATACTTGATATCCAGGAACAACTTCTCGCTTTTATGCTAAAGATCATTATGATAGTGCTGGACACTGCAGCATATACCGACTGCTTATACTTGGTCTTCCAGTTTTTTTGTAAATTTAATTTTATATTTTTTGAAGATCATAGCAATATGCCAAAAAAGAAGAAAAAAGCTCCCCCCCATATGAATATACTATAACTCTTAAAAAATATTTTCTCCAGCATAGAGTAGTGAGCCCCCCACCCCCACCCCCCCCCCCCCCCCCCCACACACACAAAGTGGCAGAAATGTATACTTAACAATGTCATTTTGTGACTTTGGAAACAAGTATGTGTTGTGTTTTTGTCTCAATGTGTTGTCTAAGCCCAAACCCATCTTGAAACTACTGTTTTTCTCTTTAAAACCAAAAAAAGAAATGTTTTTAGTAAGGAACCTAATTTGGTTTGCTTAAAATCACCAAGATTTTTTTTTATTCCTTTGTCATAAACACAGTTTCTCTTCTTACTCCACTACTTACATTTCTAAATTCTGACCTGTCTCAGTTTGGTCTGTATGTGTGTCAGTGTTCTTTGAGTAAAACTGGAAAGCGTCTGCTGTGATACACATATGTCATAATATGACAAATAGTAAACATAAGACTGAGGAATGAAAGTACAGAACTAGAGTGTGTTTCTTTGTGGTGGCCAAGTAGAAGCACTCCTCCTCAAACCATTGTCTTAAAATCAGTTAAAAGCAGTACATTTTCAAATGGGACATATCACTGGTTCAGCCCTGAAAAGCATGAACAAAAGTTTTTGTTCTGTTCCAGCTCTGTCTTGTAGAAGTGCAGACACTGTGTTTCAGTGAAAATACCTAGCCATAAGATGAAAAAAAAATTTATTTGCAATGCTTGTGCCTGCAGATATAATGTGACCACTGTTTTGTGTTGACAGTATTGCTTTATACAGTTCTTCTACTTGAAAGGAATCTGATTCTTTCAAATAAACATGGTATATATTGTTCTTATGGGGGACTATTTCAGTGGTGTAAATAATAAATCTCTTTTCTTAAGACATTGGTTATCTGCTCTATATTATCCCATATATTTTGCCTCTTTGTTGAATCATGAAACACACACTAGGTTCAGGTAGGCACTTATTGAAAAAAATTAAATGTGTATAGTTTTAAAAGTGTTTATATCACTATTCATGCATTTGGAGTTGATTTTAGCAACTAATTAGATATGTTAGCTTACTTATTTCTAATAGGCACCTTGTTTTCAGAAAGATAAACTGTTTTGTGTGGTTATTATAAAGGTATAGAGTGTAGAAGCGTTTGAGAACCCTTAATTAAAATGATTCAGTGAGAGCATTTTAACTATGAGGCTAAATTTAAATATTTAAAGATAGAACAGAGCCTTTACAGTATTTCCTTGGCACATTTCCCCACTATGAAAAGCAGCTTCTTATTCTAAGTTAGGCATAGAAAGGGCTTGATTTTTTAAGAAAGTTGAAAACTTCTTACAGGTTGATAAAGAGCAAACATTTTCTAAATCACTGTAAACTAAAATATAAAAACAATCTTCAGGAAGCAAAGCAGAATAGGATTCAAGAAAATTTTTTTTCTGCCGTTAGGTGGTGCCCTAAACCAAAGTTTATTAGTGGATATGCTAAATTAAGCAGTCCCTAGTGAACCTTGTCATTGTCAGCTTATTGGAATCACATGTGCTTGTGTGGTTACTGCATTCATAGTGTGAGAATTTTAGTTTGTCTTCAGCATCTCATGATTTATTGAACAGATGTATCTATATATATCTGTGTATGTGGTGTACACAACAGAACCAAGAGATGACTTAATTCACATGCATATTCTAGTGAAATAGCAAATTAGTTTTATATATGCAAATGTTCCAAACTTCCAGACATTAGTGCCTAACAAAGTATATTTAATCTAAAAACTGCAGAACATCATTAAATCTTTGGTTTATAGGGCTGTTTGAGACCTGGTGGCCCCTCAGGTCCTTTATGAAAATCAAGTTATTGGGTTAATGATATCTGTAGAAGTTACTCAGTTATATAAAGACAATAGATAAGCCAGTCATAATACTAAGGAACCGCATCTTGTTCTTCATTCATAGAAAGGAAGATGGTTGTCTTGTGGGGAGGAGGTGAAGCTGTACGGGAATAGGGACTGGGAAAGAAGAATATGCAAAACAACAACATGGGAAAAGGCAGATCATTTAGGGTGTGGCTTGGTTTTTAAGTGACAATTGCCAAGAATAGTAGTAAAACCTAAAAAGTAAATGAACTGGTTGAGGATTTTTCTCATCCCAAATAATCAACAGAACTCTCTCAGAGGGACAGATTGTTAATTTCCCCTAAAGTAGTGGTACATCAAAATTTATTAATGTTTTTAGCTGGAGTAGCAGCCCAAGTGGCGTCTCTAGAGATTAAATGCTTCAGTTCAGTTCAGCCGCTCAGTCGTGTCCAACTCTTTGCCACCCCATGAACCGCAGTACACCAGGCCTCCCTGTCCATCACCAACTCCTGGAGTTTACCCAACCTCATGTCATTGAGTCGGTGATGCCATCCAACCATCTCATCCTCTGTCGTCCCCTTCTCCTTCTGCCTCAATCTTTCCCAGCATCAGGGTCTTTCCAAATGAGTCAGCTCTTCGCATCAGGTGGCCAAAATATTGGAGTTTTGGCTTCACCCAGGACTGATTCCTTCAGGATGGACTGTTGGATCTCCTTGCAGTTCAAGGGACTCTCAAGAGTCTTCTCCAATACCGCAGTTCAAAAGCATCAGTTCTTTAGGGCTCAGCTTTCTTTATAGTCCAACTCTCACATCCATACATAACTACTGGAAAAACCATAGCTGCCAAAGTAATGTCTCTGCTTTTTAATATGTTGTCTAGGTTGGTCATAACTTTCCTTACAAGGAGTAAGCATCTTAGGTATTTATGTAAGGATATATTAGTTTTTATACTTAATTTTGGAAAAAGCTGTGTGGGTCTTGGAATGCTAAGTATACAGCACTTAAGGAGAAATCCTTGATGATTAGTTGGGTAGGTTTATTAAAGACTGAGAAACTAATGCATTTTAAGAATTGGAACAGAAATCAGTATCAGGCATCCTGTAGGTTTACAAAAGGATGTCAATTACTTAAGGTCAATGAGGTTCCATGTAGAACATAAGATCTTTAAAACCTCCCACTCTAGTGATCTTTTAAAGCTGGATGTTTCTTATTTTTGGTGAGTTTTGGCTGTGCCACATGGCCTGTGGGATATTAGTTCCCCAACCAGGAATTGAACTCACACCCTTGGCAGTAACATCATGGAGTCCTAACCACTGGACCAAGAGGGAATTCCCAAAACTGGATGTAAGTAAGTACTTCTTAAATGCTAGTTTAAGGATATTTCCTGATACACAGTGTTACTTCTTAAAGCACTGATTTCCTTTTGAAAAGCTTTAGAAGTTGAACTTACAGTTTGTATGAACTGTGGGAAAACAGTCTTTAAAAACACCAAAACTAGCGATATTTTATAAGTCAGTATAGCCAAAAGAAACAAATTAGATTGTGTATGTGTCTAATCTGTGATGCTAAAGACCAAACTGATGAACACATAGGTTATTAAAATAGCAATTTTTGACTGAATGCAATTCTCTCGATTGTGTTCACAGGTCTTGTTTTTCCTTTACTCATTATGATGCCTTTGAGAGTTTTTTAAATTGCAGTATAGTTGCTGTACAGTATTTTATGAGTTACAGGTATATAATAAAGTGATTCACAATTTTTAAGGGTTATACTCCATTTATAGTTATAAAATATTGGCTGTCTTCCCCATGTTGTACAATATACCCTTGTATAAGAGCTTATTTTATACCTAATTGTACCTCTGTCTCCCCTGCACTTATGTTGACCCCCACCCATTCTCTCTGCTATTAACTACTAGTTTGTTCTCTATATCTGTGAATCTGAATTTTTTTGTTTGTTTTTGTTTTATTCATTAGTTTGTTGTATTTTTTAGATTACAATGTAAGTGGTATCATAAAGTATTGTCTTTGTCTGGCATATTGCATTTAGCATAGTGCCCTCCAAGCCCATCTGTTTTGTTGCAAATGGAAAAATTTCTTTTTTAGTGACAGAGTAGTATTCCATTGTATATTCATTCATCATTCATTGTATAGTCTTTATCCATTCATCTGTTGATGGACACTTAGATTCCTTTGAAAAGGTACATGCAGCCTAATATTCATAGCAGTGTTATTTACTATTCCCAGTTCTTGATTTCCTGGAGCACTTTTGATAGCTATCACTTCTTGTTACATAGTTTGTAAGGAGAACAGTGATGGTTTCCCAAACCTTAAGAAGAAAGGGCAAGGGATATGTCAGAAAAGAATCTTTCCTTACTATATCTTGGGCAAGTGTCTCTAATTCCTTGAGCTTTCCCTTCTTCACAAAAGTTTTAATGATGTGACCCCATAGGCTGTTGCAAAAGTCAAATGAGACAATGTGTAAGTACTTTCAAGTAGCAAAGGCTTGTGTGAATTAGATATTATTAAAAGTAGTTCAGAACATGTGGCTGTGACTGAACTATCTCATTCTTGAAATTATAATTAACAAGAATGTAGTTTTATTAAAAGGGAAACTTTGCTCAAGTTTATTTTTTACAATATTACCTTGGCTTTCTGAGAGTTCTAAATAATCAAGGAAAGTAGAATGAGGAAACTCTTCTTATGATCCAGATGTTTTTGTAGATATTGAAGTGCTTTTAGTCTGCAAATGTCACTTAATAATGGTCTGAATGGATGATCTGCTGGATATGTTTGAAACTTTCACAGTGTTATAATACATCTTGTATAGTGGAATATTAACATTATTTTAATCTTTTCACTGAATCCAGCTGTTCCCAGATAGAAGTGTGCTAATTTTGCCATGCCATGTAAAAAATAAGATATCATTCCAAAGCACTGAATTTTTTAAAACCTTTTTTT